AGTTCTAAGTAAATATTTACTAATTAAATGCATGTTTATTTAATATAAGAAAGAATCATTAATTTAATTTAACTATCATTTTTTAAATAAACAAATATTTAACTATTGTAAATAATAGTTTGCTTAGTATTATTCAAAGAAATATGTATTAAAATGGAGTAAATTTTTTTCAGTGTATATATTTAACGGTTGTTTCCTTTAAATTCAGCTCTTTCATATGAAGAAACGTTATTACTACGAAAAATGTGATAAATCTTCATCGTGGAAACATGCTTTACACGATACTGCACAGTGTTGCATAATTCGTAAAAGCTAATAAAAAACACTAATAAATGCATTTATTAATGCAGACTTGCAAATTACATGCTAATACTTGTTAAACACCAGTCTTTGAATTTACTACAGTCCAACGTCACTTGCATATAAAATCCAGAAAACAGATTTTTTTTACAAATTATATTTAACACTGTGCATAATTGTAAAAGCTAATAAATAATTTGATATTGATAAGCGTACTTATAAATGCAGATTTCCATATTATATGGTAATTATTGTTAAACATCATACACAGTCTTTGAATTTATTCACTAAAATTAAATGTCATATAATATTCAGATAACAAATTTTTTAATACTAGATTTAAATTTCTTCACCACAAGAATAAACTCAATTGGAAAAAAAGTAATATAAATTTACAAAGATTAATATAAGAAATATCTGTTTTCATGATATATATTAAAACAAAAATGTGTTTTTCTTTAATATTCGATAATAAGTAAAAATAGAATCTACGTAATCTATATTCATATCGCTTATTTTGAAAAACATTAACAAAATTACATTATAAAACGTCTTCTACTAATAATAGATTTGTTATATTAGGTGTGGGAAAAAAAATTTTTAATTATTCCTAATGTACAAAGTGTAAAATTTTTTATATAAATGAAAAAAAGAAATTCGTTTCTTTAAGGATTTAATCAATTTAATCTTTAATTTTTGATCGATTTAAAGAATTTCGATTAACTGAAAATGGCCAAATAATGCTTTAGCTGCCTTAAGAATATTTTGTATTTGAAAACGAGCGCATTTATTCTTGTTAAAGTAAGTGTCTAAGACTGATTTACCTTCTTTTATATTCTCGCGTGACACCGACCGGGACTTCTCAGTTCGCCCGGGAAGGCATAAAAAGGGAGAATTAGAAACATTGGGCAACTGGCACCTGCAGCAAGTAAATCAATATCTTTCTCGTAAAAATCTCGGTAAAAACACGTTCAAAGCGAAGAGTTTCTTTGCACGCTATCATACGACCTCGTAATCGGAATTGCGAATTTAACGAACCTCTGATTTTGAATTAATTCGGAGATACGAAGTAGTATTAAATTCCTTTAATCTCAGGTCCTCGAGTCGGGATTGTGGTAATCCTGGGAGTCGGTTACCACGGTAGAATATTGACAATAAAACGAACCGTCGTTCATTCTCGTTACCGCGACAAATAATAACCCGCGCCGTCGATGTCCGATGTAAGCCGAGAAAAACACTACGAGAGCACCGTATATCTCCGACCGGCGTTTATCGCGCGTTACCGGGACAGCATAGCGACCTAAAACCTACAACTAACGTAGAGAAGCGGCGCTATCGTAAGAAATATTAAGGGTCGGTGAAAAAAAAGAAAAGCCTGAACCGGATGTTCGAATGGTTCATAAAATACGATGGTTGAATTGGCCCGAGTTCTATGACGCGCGCCGGGACGGTGGTGTGAAAAATGTTCCAGTGGTGCCGCGATCGAAATGAAACGATCGCATTATTACTTGGGTGTGGTAGAAGTTATACCGAAGGTCTTGGGTTTGCCGCGGTTCTATGGAGCTTTATGTTATAATAAAAAAAAAAATTCCCCCTTTCTTAACAAAACTCGAGACGTCAATAATTCTTCAGTATCGAGAATAAAATTTTCACGCTTTAACTACAAACAGTGTATATCAGTATTCTGATTTACATATACATGGAAAAAGACTTTTGAAATATCTGAAAATATTTAGTTAAATATCTCAAAATTTAAGTTAACTAAAAAAAAATATTAAATTTTAATAAACATTTATTTGAATAAATTTTTAAGCAAATATTTAATAAATTTAAACATATATTTAGTTGATTCAAAAACGATTAATTTGATTTAACTAGCATTTTTTTTAAATGAACAAATTATTTTTTTAATTAAATAAATTAATTGAATAACTATATACAATATTTATGTAAATAAATGTTATTTAGTACTATAAAAAATATGTACTGAGATTTTGCAATAATTTTTTTCAGTGTACAAATTTGAAAATAATTTTATTAGATCATCAAAATGATTAGAATGCTCAACTGATTATTAGAATGTTAAAACTTTTTGCAGTATTGCTCATCATGTTTAAGTTCCCTACATAATTATTTTGATAGTTTAAATAGTTAAAATAGTTAAAAAATAATTAAACAATTACTTTCAAATCTATATCTAACTTTTTCAACAAAATCGCTTTTTTTTCGTGAAGATGTGATTTTTTTCGAAAAGAATTTTATTTGAAGTATCATTTAAAAAAATTTATGTTGATTCTGTTTATTAAAAAGAAGTATTATTTATATAAAAATAACAGTGCTTATATATTCATGACTTTTTATCAATCAAAAAATATTGAATATTAAGAAACATTTGATTTTATATCTCATTTTTCTTGCGTCATATCGGACAACTCATCTATTTATTTTTTGGTAAAAATTCAGAATTTAAGTTCGATCGAATATTTTTGCTGGTAACCTACTGTTTGGTAACGTATGGCATGGCATGGAAAATGAAAACTCGCTCTAGCCGACCCTGCGGCGCAATTTTTCGAAGCTGGCGCACGAAAGCATTTTTTCCGGGGACGTTCGCGTACGACATTTTGAAGAAATTACTTCGTGCAATTTTCGACCTTTTGGTCGTACCTTTTACTAGTTGGGTAGGAAATAATTTTGTATTTTACTAGCGAATTTGTACCACGACATGTACTGATACGATACCAGAATTATTCAACGAATTACAGTCCATAAATTCCAACCATGTTAAATATTTTTTAAAAGAGAGATATGCGCACGTACGATTTATATAAATTTGGAACAAAAATCGAACTACAAAATTTTCTTCATGTAAAATCTGTGAAAATGTAATAAAAGCGATTCGATGACAAATATTAATTCTTTTCGAAGTAACCAAAACTGTTTATTCGCAGTATCGATTTTCCATTTCTGAATTGCAATCAAATAAATTGCAAAATATTCAGACATGAACAAGTTAAATATTTGGAAATAATGATAACTTTATTGAATGTACATTACACGCTTAAAAATAATAACATAGACAAAAAAGTAAACTGCTTTTATTCCATTTTAATCATATAAAAATATTAAAAATAATTGAGTAAAATATCAACAATAAATACGTATAATATGAATTTTAAACGATATACGTATAATATAAATTTTAAACGAAAAGAAACAAAAATTACTCTTTAGTTTAATTAAACAAGAATTTTTTTCACGACAGATAATTTCTGGGAAAAAAAAAATTCTTTTAATTTAATTCGTTTATAATTCGAAAAAAAAAAATTGAGAAAAATGCTCAATACTCGAATTAATCAAAGAGCCAAGAAAAAAGGTTAAACATGGAAAAATTCTTAGAGTACCGTATGTATTCCGCTATTGAACGGAAGAGGTGATCGCGACGCAAATAAAAAGGGGTAAGTCGAGAAAGACAGGCGGATTGTAGGATACATGTATAGGACGAGAGAGGCGCAAGGGTGGCGAGAAAAGAGAGTAGTGGTTTCCTCGTCAAAAAAGATGAAGTCAACGCGGTTTCGGAGAGGATGGCTGGCACACACGGGGCCGAGCCCGCGGCGATGCGAGGACGGGGGTGCGTTCTTTAAGGTAGGGGGCATGCGCGGGCGTCCGGGGGTGCAGAGCGGCTCTCGGAGGTTAGTCGCTTGCCAACATCACGACGTGCCGCTCGTACCTCGCGATCGCTGGATTTACACGCAACTCGCTTCCATCCCTTCCACCCTCGCCATCGTACTATCGTCCCCGTTCATCCCGGTTATCGATATCCAATTTGTCATCAGTCCGGCATCGATCGAGAAAAATTATCGATCTTTTACATTTTCGACAGTGAATATCGCGAATCGAATTACGAACCCCAAACTACGATTTCGAATTTGTCAGAAACAGCGCGCTTGTATTTTTATTTGCGCGTATACATCGATCGTGCGCGCATTTTGGGGATGCAACAGTGCGTCGAGAAAGTGCTTCGATCGATCTATTAAAATGTGGATCGCGCGATCGCGAGCTCAAACGAAGGACGATTGACGATGCAGTGACTTACTTGCTGTGGGTTTCTTGCTCGAACGAACGTTTGTGATTTTCGGCGATCAATGATGATCTTAGAATCACAGTGACGAAGAAAGTGCAGTTGAAGTTGTGCCAAATATCTAATAATCGTACAATGAGAAGCGAGTGTGCGTCTCTACACGAAGGATTAATGACATTTGCACTTAATAAGGCACAGCAATAATTACATTTTCGGCAGCATTTTGACGTAATAATAATTACATAAATTATTGGCATGATTCATATTCACCATCGATTTGCATAATAATAACTCTTAATACAACGACACTCGCGGTGTGATGACGGAATAAACGGAATGTGGGCGCGGGTGCGCGTTTATCCTTGGGACCACTTTTCATGATAAGCGCCACGTCCTCGACGAAGAGCGATCTATCGTGAGGTTCGTGGTACCAGCTGCGGCGGATCTGGACCAGAAGTGACTGCACTGCGTGCGTGTCATCGTCATTGCGGTAAACGGCGCGCAAAAGTGCGCGTGGAACGGCTGGTATTACGGCTCGAATTCGTTTCGACTCGAATTCGACTCGAAGAGAATCACAGTGCATTTCCCAGCGGCGATTTGGATGCGTGTCTACACGAATACACGGTGCAGAAACGCGATCCCGTCCTCCAGTCAACTCGCCACGTCCGAAAAGTGTAGTTCCGAGAACCGTAAGTGAAATTCATCTGTTCTTTTTATGTCACGGTGCACGGGTGTATTACTGAATTTCCTGTGAAGTGAAAATACGAGATGTTTCGAAAAGGCGTGTCTTATTTTCATCATCTTATTTTCATAACTATTAAAACGAAAAACTTTTTATTCATAAACAATAGCATCAAATTATACTTATGCTTTTATTATTAAAGTTTCCTTTTTTGTAGAGAAATAAACAGAAAATCGATTGAATATGAAACATGGATTAAAGTAAAAATAAATTAAAAATTTTTCTAATTTAAATTCCCAAATAAACATCAGAAAAGTCGATTCTTAATTATTCTTTATTGTTATATTGCTAAAGTTTTTTTTTGTAGAAAGAAATAAATAGAAAATCGAAATGAAAACGGATAAAAAAAAAAGTTTCTAAATTAAATTCCTAAATAAACATATCAGAAGAGTCGATTCTTAATTATCCTTTATATCCATAAACAATATCACTATATTATATTTATGTGCTTTTATTGATAAAATTTTCCTTTACGTAAAGAGAAATAAATAGAAAGAATTGGAAATAGAAACGGATTAAAGCGAAAAAAATAAAAAAGTTTGCTGAATTAAATAAACAATATATATTAGAAGATTCGATTCTTAATTATTCTTTATATATTAAAGTAACATTTTAATGTCTGTCGCAATATTAAAACTTTAGACAATGTGTTCAATATTTATCATGAATTAATATCATGGATTTCAAATTTTTTCAATTCTTTCTACAAAAACAGTCTGCATTAATTGGAATTCAGGTTGAAAATGGACAAATTAGAATTTTCTGGATGAATCTATTATAATTCTAATTTGAGTTAACTAAAATTGCGATTGATATGATCAAAATCTTCTGATTCGTCTATTTTCAATTAAAAATTTTTCTCCATGTAATTACGTTATTAGTATTCTTCTTACGATTTAATATCATTTCTCTAATAATGAAATAAATTTTATTGAATTTAGTATAATTTTAATTTTACTTAACTAATTTTATAAATCTTGTTGAAAATCTTGCAAATATATTGTTCCTGTGTGAATAGATATATTTTACAGCTGAATGCATTCAGTATTCGGTGGCCAATAATAAACGTAGGAAACGCAATTGACGCTGTGCCAAACATCGTACTAATAATCGTACAATGAGAAGCGTATACGCGTATTCGTATGAAGGATTAATGATGCGTGTGGTTAAAAGGGCACAATAATAATAGTAACAATTTCGGTAGCATTTTGGAATAATAATAACTCTTAATACAACGGCATATGCACTCGCGACATGGACAAACCCCAGCTGATGGATTGAAATATGTATTACTACGTTATCGCGAATGAAGAGCAATAATATTTACTTGCGGAAATACAATAATAGGAAATTTTTGCTTGATCTTCTAATTGAATTTTACGCCATTTCCACGCAATGACGAGCGAACGGCGCAGGAGACGGTAACGGGAACTTCGATTTGCACTCGAGACGAAAAACGTAATACAATTTATCAGGCGACGCCGTGCGAATTTCGGTGGCGAATATGCAATCGACTGTATACGCTGAATATGCAATGCGTTCTCCTAACTTATATCTTTTGCGGAAGGAATTTTATTGGATGGCGGCTCTCGGACGCTTTGCGCAATAAAAATGCTCAAAGCTAATCGATTATCCCATCGAACCGAATTTAGATCCTCGAGTTTAGCTTTAGAGTTTCGTTTCGAGTTTGCCTACGGACTTTGTGCTACTGAAATAATATTAGCTATGCACAGAGAAACGTGATAAAATATTCAAGCCGGTAATATAACTTCAGTTGATTATATTATACTGAGTGTTACATACTTTTATTCTTAAGCGCATAATATTATATAATTTTTTTTATAACGCCTTTTATAAATCTTCCATCAGCATGAATGTATTTTACGTTTGCAAATTCAA